TTTGCAAATGTTACATGTTCTTGGGAAGCCAGACAGAGAACAAGTTTAGACTTGAGAAGAATGAATGTCAATGAGGCTAAGAAGAAATATTTTGGGATTTTTTTCCCCCTTGCCCTGAGAAAGAATTTTTTCTACATAACAAAAGGGAAAAAATGTACATTGGTCCAGTGATTTAGCATTTTATTATAAGTTTTATTCAATGCTTAAAATGATCTCCAATGGTCTCTTCCACTTTCAGGGAATCATTCGCCACCCACTCACTGATGATAGTCAAATAGGCCAATATTCTGACTTTTCTTCTAATTTTCTAACACATTCCAAAAAATTTTCCTGAGTAATCTCAAATTCAACAAATCCAAAATTAATCAAATTGTCTAGCTACTAAGCCTCTTTTTTTCTAAATTGCTTACTTTAATTATTTGTTTTACCATTTGTTCAGTCACCTAAACTAAAAATTATAGTCATAGTCCACTACCAGCACAGTTCTTGCACCAGCAACCAATAACTGTTTCTCAAATAAATGAAAAGGATGGATTTTCAATGCTTTCTATTCATCTCCCTCTCACCAGTGGGTCAGTAAGTTCTATTCACTCTGCTTCAAATCCCCTCTCAAAGCATCCCCTACCCTGGCCTGCACTGTTGCTGGTCTAATATAGTCCTTAATGCTCTTAACTCTTAACCACCTAACCATTTGCATCCCTCCAGCAAAGGTTTGATCATATTTTAACTTGGTTCAAGAATATTTAGTTTCTCTTTTTTTATCTGCAAAACAAAATTCCAACTTCTGACTCCCCACAATGAGTACACTCCGCTCTTGCCACATCCCTGACTCCTTGACTGAACCCTCCTCTAACGCCACACTTTCCCCTATTTGATCACACTGTCATTTCATGCTCCGATGTCTTCAATCATATGGCCTATGTTGGAGCGTTTCTTCCATCCCTTGTCTGGCATGCTCACATCCCGATCATCCTTTAGCTCCTAATTCAAACACCTCTCAGGCTTCTAATCGGAACTCAAGCTTTACTCCTCAAAGCTTTTATGGTTCTGTTATTCATACTTCTGCTCTAGCTTTCAACATACTCTAAGCTGTATTTTAATAATTTGTTCATGTGCCTGCCTCTCTCCAAAGTTCTAACAAGCCCTATTCCCAGCGACTCTATACAGTAAATGATATAGAAAGTTTTCAGAACTGGCATTGAATTAAAGCCATGTATACATTTATTATTGAGAGTCACACGTATTTCAGGAGTTAAAAAGAAAATTGAACCAGAAAGTCTTTTGTATTAAAAGAGGGTGAAAAGTATTAAAACAATGTGATTCATGATGTGATATGGACTCATATTATGACTGAATCAGGTCACTTAAAAGTCCGATTTCTCCTAGAGAATCCCAGCCACCACTCCTCACACTGCTACTTCCCTTTTCTTTCGGGCTCTTCCCACCACACGCAGCTTGGGTAGGACTTAGACCTGTGGTATTCATTCTTGTTCTTTAGGCACTAGGTTTGAGTTTCCCCATCTTGCGTTCCAGGTGTCCTGCGTGTAGTTCTAAGAACTCCAGTGCCTCAGATGAGATAACACAATGCCTGTGGGAGGAAGCATTCCAGCTGCTTTTGGAGAGCTTTCATTTCCTTCCAGAGCCTCTGAGAAGGGAGCCTGTCTGGAATGCACGGCCCTCTGCCAAGTCGCTGTGTCCTCCCTGCTTAGAGAAGGGGGATTGGAAAGGAGGAAGCAAGGTACTCTGGGTTCCTCTGCAAATCCCCAGGTTCCCTCCCACCCCCATCATCACATACAATGTGCCAACTTTGGGGCCAGCGTGGTGAGAATTTGCAGAATCTGAATTTTAATACATTGAATATGGTGAAGACTCCTTGTTAGTTCAGAGAAAGCCACTTTGCAGGTTGGCTTTATTTCAGTGAGGGGGCATTTTATCCACTTAGAGGGAAATTATCAGAGAGTCAAGAAGCCAAGTATCTCTACCTCAAACTGATAGCAGACATGCATATAAGAAAGTACTAATTACACTTACCTATGCAATGGTAATAGACTCTGCCCCAGCAAAGGAATATATTTTTTAAATTACTCATTATTAAAAAATTATAAATATATGCTAATTAGAATTGTAAAGACCCATGTGTAATCTTTGCCAGGTTCAACAATGATTAACTTACAGCCAGTCTTATTTCATCTATATGCCACCCCCACGCTCCCAGATTATGTTGAAGAAATTCAAACACCATATTATTTCACTCGTATTTTTAAGTATCACCTAGGAATCTTATTAGCAGTATTGTTCAAACAAGGTACCTTTATAATAAACTTCTCATCTTTCCACAAAATCTCTATTTTGTTCCCTTGAACCTTGAAGTCACACTGAAGTGTGAAACTTACATGGAAGATGGGGTTGTGTGAGCTAGCGCCGTCCCCGTGATTAATCTATTCTGTACACAATGGCACCCAGGGTGCGGAACGCCCCTCCTTTGGTCACCTAGTAACTTCACACTGGTCAACAAGAAGCTGAATAAATTATTATGTTTCAAGAAAGTGCTTGGCTAGCTGACTTGGATCACCTCCTAGATTTTAGGAGAAATAACCATTGCCAAGTTTGAATTTGCTAAACCTTTAGGCTTTGCTGGCAGGAAAGAAGCATTCCCCTCTTGGAGCATAAAATGGATACAGAAGATATGGGCTCCGGTAAACTCGGCCACATATTGAAGCAGATTTGGAGACAGAACCTGATGCTGAAGCAGGCACTCCTGGGCCATGACCACGGTGAAGGGGCCGGTGGGGCCACGTGGACAGCCACAGTGGTCTTTCTGGGTCAAGAGCTCAGTGGGGCCCTTCAGCAGCTCTTGGAGCACACAGCAGGCACACTGCGCTCCACCTGCCAGCAGCTGTGTGTCCTGCTGGACAAGGAGAATCAATGTACCTGGAGACAAGGCAAGTATTTATTTTATTCATTATTTCTGTAAGAAGTATTGGTTGGGTAGCCACTCTGAGAGGGGTTAAGGGGCATACAAAGAAGGCTAAGGTAGAGTCTCTGTCCACAAGGGGCACACAACGTAATAGGGGCAGTAAGACTAGACAACCCCCCAAATGCAAGGAAAAATGAGGTCAGTTCCATTAGAAATGTACAAATAAAATGTGTTAAGGCTACAGAAGCAGGTGAAGTCCCATTTTTAGAGCGAGGATTTGGGAATTTCGCTAAAGAAATGTTTTATTTAAACTGAAGCCTAAGGAACAGAAACTGGGAATCTTGAAGGAGCATTCCAGGCAGCCCTTGACAGTTTGGCTCAGTGAATAGAGCATCAGCCTGTGGACCGAGGGTTTGATTCCAGTCAGGGGCACGTATCTCTGTTGCAGGCTCCTCCTGGGCCCAGGCTCTGATCAGGGCATACACAGGGTGCAACCAATCAATGGTTCTCCTCACTGCAATGTTTCTCTCTGTCTTTCCCTCTCTCTTCCCCTCTCTCTCTCTCTAAAAAAAAAAAAAAATCAATGGAAAAATATCCTCAGGTGAAGATTAAAAAATAAATA